GGTTTCTTCGCCTCCTCCTCCTCCTCTTCTTCCTCCTCCTCTTTCCCCACCTCCTCCCCCTCAGCCACCGCCTCCTCCACCACCACCACTCCCTCCGGGGCACCCTGGTCCCTGCAGAGTCCCCGGCAGGCGCCGCCTCCGCTTCGGCCCCCTCGATCCCGAGCCTGCTGCGCCCGAGCTCTTAGAACAGACGGACAGGCAGACACACAGATTCCGCGCGCCTAACGCGCCGCCGCTGCTGTCCCCCGCGACCCCGCGTCGGGGGAACTGGCGTCGCCCGGGGAGCACCGCGAGGGTAAGCGGGCGAGGGCTGATTCCCGGCGAGGGCTACCGTCGCGGTTCGGTGACAGCAATCCCCACCCCCAGCACGACTCCCGGCGGTTTCCGGGGCGAGAGGGCCCGGGGTGGCGGGTAGGGTCCGCCCACCCCTCCAGCCACGCGCAGCCTGCAGGTCCCAGGGTCGGTGCGTTCGCGGTCCTTGATCGGCTTATTCGTTTGCAAGTTGAGACCGGAGCCGCTAACGCTGCCGGGGCGGTGGGATTCCAACTCGCGCCCGCACGGGCCCCACTGGCTCTCGCTTCTTCTGTCTGGGAGAGCGCTCGCCTCCTTCCCTCAAATAGTTCCTTCTGGAATGTCTGGGACCGGGAGTCCAGGGTCAGGGGAGAGCCCGAAGTGGTGCTACTATTATCGTGCCGTTATTATTATTGTTGGCGTTGTCATTGTTATTACTTTTGCTGCTATTATTATCATTTCTATTATTATTCTGCCATCTGTTGTCCCCGGGGCGGGTTGCTGCGCAAACCCAGGTCTCGAAACTAAGGACTGATGATCGCGTCTCCGGTCCCAGGCCGTGTCCGCATTTTCGAGCTCGCCTTGGGTTTTGGGACGATTTTAGGGCCGAGTTCTCTCGTCCCCATTGGCTCGCGCGGCGGCATAATTATGATCACATCCCCCAGGCTGCTGGCGCTGCTCTCTGTTTATTGGTGGTTAAAGATCTATTATCTATTCATCAGCAGCCTCTTTTTTCCTCCTTTTTTTTTTTTTTTCCTTTTTGCCAATTACATTCTTCTAAAGTGAAGTACCAGCAGGTATTTTGCACGTTTACAATTAATGATAAAAAATCTGGCGTCCTTTAAATCTATTACTCCCAGGCCCATGTCATTTCTCTTAAGGATGAAGAAATGCCTGTGTTTGGTGACTAGGTTGCTGTGAAACCCGGGAGAAGTAGATCGGGAGGGGATAGAAGAGTAAAGTCGATCACGAACGAGGCTGGAACGCCACCAGATACATCAGCCCAGGGTCCGGATCTTAGGCCACACTGCGCAGTTCCCCCGCTACCCCTTTCCCTGACCTCGGGTCTCCCCTTCCCCTCTCCTGGTTTCACCTGTGTGCATTTATGTTTGTGTCAGTCTCTCTACTTCCTTGTTACAAGTATAGTATTGTTGGGGGTGGGGGTCCAAAAAACCCTTTCAGGACCCCGTCTGGGTTGGGAGCTGTGTTTTCCGGGGTTGTTGGCACCAGACAGATTAGTAAGGCACCAACAGAAATCATTTTTGCTGCCCCCCAACCTTGCCAGGGCACACACATACAAACATTAACATCTTTGCCCTAGTGGGAGAAACTGCTCCTGCCTCATGCTTCAGACCTCTACAACACAAGCTCTGGGCTGGGGTCCTGGCCCCGTTTTCACCCTTTGTCAGTTTCGAGTAGCCTTACTTTGCCCCCCTCCCTCTTTTTTTCTAGGTCCAAAGATTCTGGAGTGTATCTAGCCCCTTGGGATGAGTGTTCATTCAAAAAGGCACCTCCCTCAAACCTGAACCACCATCCCCCAGAGTATTGTCTCCAGCTCAGAAATTCCTCCCTCAACTAGGCTGTGAAGATAGAGGCTGGCAAGTGTGCCCAGGCCTGCAGGGAACCGGGAGCCTGAAGCGATGGCGAAGGGTGGAGGTGTTTTGGTTGTGCCCAGCCAGCAAGCCTAGGTTGGAGCTAGGGGCAGCCCCCAGGTTTCAGAAGCTAGAAACAAATATCCAGTTTAGGCAGTCTGTAGATCCTGGATCCTAGAGCAAGCAGAAGAGGGCACCCTTCTCCGTGGGAGCATCTGGAGAAGGACCGAAGGGTTAGGCTCCAGCCTCGCCCTCAGGCCAGGCCCTCCAAACTTGGCTGGAGACTCTGGGGTTGCAAACTGGGGCTACTAAAAGCCCCACCCATGTTGCAGGGCAGGGAATGGTGGTTTATTGCACAGTTAGCATTCGTGATCTTGGCTGGGGGTATAAAACTTGTTGACCTTGAGGACAAGGGGAATCCAGTCGGTGTCTGGGAGATAAGGTGAAAAAACATGATGTGTGATATGTGAGGGTGTTCCCCCTCTTTAATACTTTCAGCCCTGAGCTCTAAGGTGTAGTTGGTACCCACCAACCCTTAACCCCTTGGCCAGAATGCAGTTGAAGAGTATCCTAAGGGTGAATGACAGACTGGATACCGGAACCCTCAGCCTCCTGCTCCAGGTGGAACATTTGGCCCAAGCAGAGAGCCAAACTGCTCCAAGACAAGACTGGGGTTGTGTGGCATCCTCCATAGGCCACCCACCTCTTGAAAATTGTCCTTCAATGGCCAGGTTTTCCTAAGTGTCTCTGGCTGGCAGGCAGGTGGGAGATGGTGAGGGAGCAGCAGGATCTGGAACTAAAGGAACCAGGGCATTCCAGTTCCTCTGTCCCAAGGGCCACTGGCCCCCGGATGTGCTCCAGCCCCCTAGACAGAGAAGAGGGTTTCCGGTGAGTCAGGGGCAGTGCAGGAGTGCTGGAAATTGGGAAACCTATGCTAATTTATGCACCCAGACCTGAGGAGCCCAGGAAGGATCGTGCCCCAGCCCCAACATGCAACGTGCGGCAGAATTAACTAGGAGAGTAACTCATTAACCACACTGGCTGGTGGATGTGCCTAGAGCACTAGGCACTCAGGTCTGGACTCGAACCCTGAACTCCTAGACGGTGTGGCCACAGCTCACTCTACTCTTGGCTTTGGGCCTTGCAGAATGTGCTCCCCATTTGTTCCTTATCTGCCCAAGGAGTGGGGGTTGGGTTAAGTACTGGTGCATGCAGTGGGAGATGGGGGCATTTCTGAGGCTCTAGCTCAGAGCAAGGGGTTTCCTTCCTCTGCCTTCCTTGTATGGCCCCAGGCCTCTGCCGGTTGGGCTCTGTAGCCTCAGAAATCTACACTGTGCAGGCAGCTAGACTTGCAGGTTCTAATCCTGGATCTATCACTTACTGATTGACCCTGGACGACACCACAACCTCTCTGACCACATTTTGTTTTCTGTAAAATTACAGCCAAGACTGCCTAGAAGTCAGTAGAGGGTAACAGTTGGGCCTGTTTGGAGGAGTGATAAAACTATTCTACTTCCTGATTGTGTGACCTTGGGCAAGTTACCTAATCTCTCTGTTACACTGTTTTCTCTTTTCCGAAATGGGAATAAATAATATTACCTTGGCCCTTGGAATTGCTCAATGAGATAAGCCAAGCAAACTGCTTAGACAGTGACTGGCACATAGTGAGCTATAATAAAAGTTAGCTCCTGTCTTTGATGTTGCTGTCACTGGGCTTCAGGCTGTGAACAGTAAGTTGTGCAAACATGAGCTAATGCTGGTCTCACACTCCTGACACACTCCTTCGTTCTCCCCCAAAGGCCACCAACTTCCCTATGGAGGAGTAGGGGTGAAAGACGCCTGGATTCCTTGCTCCTTGAAGGCATCAAAGGGCAGGGATTCCTGGGGATCTGTGTGATAACCATCTGCTCCGAGTTCCCTGCAAGGCCCCCTGTGCTTCAAAGAAGTAAGCAGCAGTGTCCCACCCTCTAATGGCAGCTCTGTGCTAGGTCCCTGCGGTATGTGCGGTGGGTGCACAGCCTCATGCAACCCAGAATAGGTGAGCGGGGGCTGTCTGGGATCACTACCTGCTTGACTTTCTCCTTCTCGAGCCTTGGTTGTCTCATCTGCGAAAAGGAAATGTGGATATCTTAATGGTTGTTGAGAGGAGTCAGCGAGCTAATGCTTGGCACACTGTTGGCGTTCACCAAATTTTAGTTATTGTTAGGCCATGGCCTTGTATGGTCTAGCCCACCCTCCGCACCATGGCACGTCCGTGTCGCCGCGGTTTGGACCCTTCCAGTGAGCCGGTACGATAAACCGGTGCGGGAAGCGCGGACGCCCTTTGCCAGGCCCAAGGCACGCGAAAGGTGTCCTGAGATGGGGAGGCCTCGGGGGTCGGTTAAAAACCCCTCCAGCTCACTGCGATTCCGGCCTCTCTGAACGCTTAGGGCGACGGTGGGAAAACGAAAAGTAGAATTCATACCATAAATGCATTTTTTTTTTTTTTTTTTTTAATTATTAAGGCAAATCCCTTTCTGGCCTCCTCCCCGAAGGCCTCTCTCCGGGCGGGCGCGACGACCCGGGGCCCCGATCGGCGTGCGCGCAGCGGCGCCTAGTGGCGAGGGCCGGGCGCAGGACCGGTGCCCGCCGAGTCGCTCAGTCCCGCAGTACCTGAGCCCGTGCGCCCAGGGAGTGCTGGGGTTGCGCCCCACTGCCAAGATGTCGCCGAAACCGCAATCTGGGCCGGGGAGGAGGTCTGAGGTCCATCGGCTGCAGAGGAGGGAGGACGACTTGGAAATGTGTCCCTCTTCCCTCCATAAGCTTCGACTCCCCGCTTCACCGTTCACCAGCCACGCTAGAATTCTAGCTTTACTAGGAGTCGGGTTTCCTTCCGAAGTGGGCGGGGAAAGGGGGACAGGTTCTGCTCTAAGAAGGACGAGGCGGCTGTGATCCCTTGTACCAGGGAGATAGGCTGTCCAGCTACCGCGCTAATGCGGTCTCAAGTCCATGCCTGAAGTCTCAGATCTCCGGACCCGACCACGGCCGCTCAGAGACTGGGCCCCTGATGGCCTGAGCGGGCCCCTCTTGGGGAAGAGTCCGAAGAGGTGGGGTCGCAGGGTGCAGCGCTCCCAAATTGCGCCTCCTCGTGGCTGGCTGAGAACGTCCCGAGACAGGGGGCCCTTGGTCACTGCAAGATGGGGATTGATCACCCGCCACACACTTGGAGAGCACGATTGGGCAGCCGCGATGGGGCTCTGGTGTCTCGCCCCTTCCGCCTGGAGAGCGCGGGTCCCAGCCCCGTCTGTCCTGGGGCGCCCTGGTTCCTGCCGTGAGATGAGGCCGTGGAATCTGCTTGGGCTTCGCTGGAAACCCGTGTGATATGAAGGCGGCCCCGAAGCGGCGCCCATCAGCGGAACTGCTGGGAGCGCCGACCTGGGGGATCGAGCCCTTCCGGGGGATGGGGGGTCTCAACCCTGGTTCTGTCCTCTACGGCTCCAGGTGACTGCAGGAGACTGGCGCTGTCCTCCAGATGTCAGCAGGAGCCTATGAGCTTCTGGGCCTCCCGAGATCCATCCGTTTTGAGATCCAACGCTCCAGAGTCAGGAGCTCTGCACTGATGCCTGAAGCCACATACAGGACCCTACCTTCGGGATTTACATCCTTCATCACGGTGAAACTCGCTAGTCTCTAAATACACACGCACGCTGTCCCAATTCATTATCGAAAGCAAGGAAACAGAATCAAAGGGGATCCCAGTTTCTTTCTCCCTCAGCTGCCTTCAAATGAAAACCCAAGACCAAGCAAGGACAGGGAAGGTTCAGCCAGACGTACACACAGACAGGGACAAGGAAATAGGGAACAAGGACACGGGTGACTGCCCTGGGCACGGGTGAAGACAGCTCTGCCTTCCTTGTGTAGGTGGAGGTGCTGCGCTCCCCTCTAATCGCCCCCAAAGCTGAGCCTTCATCGTGCCACAAGAGCACCGACTGGCACCCATATCACCCAAGCCTGAGGCAGCCCAGCCCGGGAGGCGGGCACCCCTTCTGACTCCTCTGCTCAGCTCTCTGGCATCCTTTTTTTTGAGACTCTGCTCTCTTCCAGGCTCCTAACTTGGAGTCAGGGAATATAAGGGGCTCCTTGAAGTTTTCATATTCAATCCACTTTGTTTGAGACTCTGCTCTCTTCCAGCCTCCTAACTTGGAGTCAGGGAATATAAGGGGCTCCTTGAAGTTTTCATATTCAATCCACTTTCTAACCTACCCCACCTCTGAAACACTGGTGTTCCATGAGCCCCTCTCTCATCTCTTTATCATCTGTTCTTTTAGATCCTTCCCATTTTCTGAGCTCTGGAGTCTGGGCTGGGGCTTAGAAAGGGTAATATGGTCATTTTAGGAAAAAAGGAAATTGTTGGCTTTTGTTTTTCTTTCTTGGACTCTGCAGCTCTCCTTGAAACGAGGAGGATGCAAAGAAAAAGAACGCTAACAATTCCTCTCACCTATATCGAGCTTTAGCATTTAAAAGCATATTTTCTCACACTCATGATCTCAGGGAACATCACAATGTGACCTGGTAAGTTAGAGGAGTCATGATACCCATTTTCCGGGTGAGAAAACTGAGCCTCGGGAGAAATGACACAACGTCGCTTGGCGCGCCCCCAACTCCTGCCCATGGGTGCAGTAGTGTCACTCCATGAGGAGCCCTGGAATGCCCGCCTCTCCTCCCCACCCATAGTCACCAGATGCCTGCACTCAAGCCAAGGAGAAGAGGCAGCAAAGAGTCCCCGTAGGCAAACCGCTGCTCCCAAACTGTGGCTCGCAGCAGGGCTATTCCAGGCGGCCCTACGTAGTGTAACTTCATGCCCGCTTCGCCCGCCATTGTCCGCCAGGCCACTTTTCCCAGCTCAGGCCCTGCCGCAAGCCTCTGTCTTCTTCTGCAGTTGTAGCATGTGGACTTAAACCCCAGGTTTAGGACTGGAGAACCGTCGGCGTCCTCGCTGCAATCAGTTAGAAAAGCTAGCAGGACAGTGCTGCGTGGCAGCGGCCGGTAACCTCACGTGGCTCGAGTGGGCGCCTCAAAGCGACCTTGAAACCTCTGGTGGTGGCCAAAGAGCAGCACCCGGCCGGGAAAACCGGAGCGCAGCCCGAGCTCCCCGCGCAGCCAGAGAAGCGGCCCTCGGGCCCCTCGTGCAGCGTCCCCTGCCTCTTTAGCTCAGCCCGACCTGTGCAGAGCCGGGGAACAGAAGAGTGGACAGCGGCTGGGAACTTGGAGCACAGAGGGTCTGCCACCCTCCTGCCCCGCCGCGAATAGCCCACCCCTCCTGAGCAGCCCTGGGGGGGCCCCGAAGCTGCCCCTCCCTCCAAGACACACCCACATTCCGGGACCCCTCCTGCCTGGAGGTTGGACACACTGGGCCCCGCTCTCCTATTGTCACCCCCGTCACCCCCAGGGCGTCCGGGATCTAGGACTAGGCGTGCGCCCCACTTCCTCAGCGGCCCCGCGGAGCCCTGGGCTTTGCAGTCGGGCCCTCGCTGCTGGAGAAGAGGCTTTCCAGGGGGCTGCAGCAGCCTCACCCCGAATGGGCCCCCGAAGCCTCGCCGCTGGGCCCCAAGTGTCCCTCCCTCCCGGCGAGGGCCCGGAGAGTCCCGGCCGCAGCCGCCCTCCGCTTAGCCCGGCCGCCAGCGCCTCGCCGGGGGCTGCGCGACAAAGGGTGGCATCGCGGCGGCGCGGGCAGGGACCGCGTTGGTTCAATATTAGCTTTTCATTCCAGTCTATTGTGCCCATCTGAGATAATATTGACTCTGAGGTGAGAGCCCACAGACGACAGGGCGCGCCTAGCTCTCCGCAGCAGGTCGCTCGAAGGAAAGAACCAGAGACCGAGAGAGAAAGAGACAGCAAATAAAAGACGCTGGGGCCGCGGACGGCCCGGCACGGGGACGCTGGCCGCGCGTGCGCCCGGGCCTCGAACCCGGGAACTGCGGGTCACGGGAGGGTCCCGAGGTGGCCTGAGGAGGGACGCTGCGCGTTCCCATCGAAAGCAGCCCTCGGTGAACACTTTCATCTTCCAGACAATTGATTTTGAGGTCCCGCTTCTAGGTAACTCTGGAGAAAAACTAATTCACGCACACTGTTTTAGGTTGCCAAGAAGACAAGATCCGCCACTGGGAGAGTTTCCCCTTTTAAACGGTGTGACTCTTTAGAGTAACTTTTCTGTCAAAGTGTTTCTCCTATTTCCCCAGTTTGAGAAAACACATGCAGCGATTATTAAGCTGCATTATTTGCCAGTGCGCGGTTAATATCAAGTTTCTAATTGTGCATTTTGCTTTGCTTTGAGTCGTCTCCTTGCAGCCCATCGGCGGGTCCCCTAACTGCCTTTAAGGGGCCTCTGGAACGTTCAAGTCTTGCATAGATTCGTTTCAGTTTCCAAATTGCCTCTAAATGCCCACGTTGGAAAATGACATTTTAAGTTATTTGTCTGAGAAAAAATACTTAAGTTTACACTCACGGGATCAAACGCCAAACGCACAGGACTTGCAGTGAACGTGGTGAGTGTGCCCTCCGTGTCGTTTGCAAAAAATTGGCGCCCTCCCCCCAATTGAAGTTTGACCCGTGTGAGAGATAATCCGTTAACTCCGTTACCCCAATAAGAAGCTGGTCTTTGGGGATCTTTTCAGCCACCCCAAAGACACGTGGACACTTGGGGAGCAGGGATAGGGCGAGGGCTGGGGTGGCAGCCTCGGCAGCATCGGGAGACTGGGAGACCAGCGTGCGCTTCCTCTCGGGCACCCTGTACTAAGCTGGGCTCGGCGACACGGAGCTCCAGCACAGCACCTTGGATATTTCAGAGGACATTGTACCATATATAAGATCTATAACATATATGGTCCATTTGTACTCGTACACTGTTTAACTATACTATGCATTATATGTTTCATCAGATTATATATTGGCTAATCTATATGCAACATCTAGTTCCTATATTACATTGTTATATTACTTATTTAACATACAGTATGTTTTATTGTACATTACATAACTTATATTGTATAC